CGTGATCCACCCGCCTCGGCCTCCCAGAGTGCTGGGATTACAGGCTTGAGCCCGCGGAACTAGTGTGTGTGTGTGTGTGTGTGTGTGTGTGTGTGTGTGTGTGTGTGTGTGTGTGTGTGTGTGTGTGTGTGTCTCAGTCAGGCACATAGGGATACTAACAATAGGGGTAACTTTAAATCAAGCTTTTGGCTTGCACTTTTTTTTTTTTTTTGAGACAGAGTCTCACTCTGTCACCCAACAAAAGACTATTTTAAAAATCAGTAGGTACAATGAGGAAAAGGATCAAACAGAACTCAAAATAAAATATAAAATCACTAATGTGAAAATCTTAATGGACACATTAAACAACAGATTAGAAATTATTAAGGAGAAAATCAGTGAACTAGAAGACAGATAAGAAATTATCCAGAACGGCTGGGCTCGGGTAATCTCAGCAGTGTGAGAGGCTGAGGTGGGTGGATCACCTGAGGTCAGGAGTTTGAGACCAGCCTGGCCAACATAGTGAAGCCCCATCTCTACTAAAAATCCAAAAAAATTAGCTGGGCGTGGTGGCGCATGCCTGTAATCCCAGCTACTCTCGAGGCTGAGGCAGGAGAATTGTTTGAACCCAGGAGGTGGAGGTGGCAGTGAGCTGAGATCACACCATTGCACTCCAGCCTGGGCAACAAGAGTGAAACTCTCCCAAAAGAAAAAAAAAATTTTCAAAATAGTATAGCAAATACCCATATACTCCTCATCTATAGTCACAAAGTTTAATATTTCCTCACATTACTTTTATGTATTTTTTCCCCCTGAACTAATTAAGTCTGAATACATAACATTTTACTCCTAAGTACTTCATCATGTGTCTCTGAAGAACAAGGGCATTACTTTCTCCTATGTAAACAATACAAATGTCATTCTCAGGAAATTTGATGTAAGTTCACTACTTACACAATAATGTCCTTTATAGCCTTTTTTTTTTGTAGACAAGGTCTCTCTCTGTCACCCAGGCTGGAATGCAGTGGCCCAATCTCAGCTCACTGCAACCTCCACCTTCTCAGTTCAAGTGTTCGCCTGTAATCCCAGGTAATCAGGAGGCTAAGGCACCAGAATCACTTGAACCTGGGAGGCAGAGGTTGCAATGAGGCAAGATGCCATTGCACTCCAGCCTGGGCGACAGAGCAAAACTATCCCCCTGCCAAAAAAAAAAAAAGAAAAGAAAAAGAATAAGGCAAATTCTATCTCATTAAAATCTTTCAATTGTATAACCTAAAACTTACAAAAACTGTAGAGAAAGAAGCTAGTACGGAAAAAGCAAGCCTACCCTTTATGTCATTCAGAGAACTGGGACCGCCATGAGACTGGTCTGCCTCACATACGGCCCTCCAGAAGTCCTGCTCTGCCACACTGGAGGCTTGGCCTTCATTTTGCAGACTTAGAGCCAACATGAAGTCCAAGTTTGCACTGTCTTCACCACCCTCTTTGGGGGGCTGTCGGCCTCTATTCCTTTCCTGCCTCTCTTGTTCTTCAACTGAAAAACAAAAACAAAAAAAAAAAACCCAGCATTCAAGATACATTAAAAATGTTACCACCCTCAAGTCAAGTCCATGTCTAGCAAATAGTCAAGGTTTACAGACGTCTGGACAGAACAAAAATGACCAAGCTCAACTAGCTGTCTGCACTCTCTGGGTCTCCTAGCTCTGAACATTAAAGTCTGCCATGTGAAAAGGCTCCATTATTATTCTAATTGTATTGTTATTTTGTTTTCTTTTTTTTTTCTATCTATGTGGGGTTTCTACTAGCTGCTAAGTTCTAATTGTATTGTTAAGCAATATTACTGAGCCATAATTATGAGACAGGCACTGTGCTAAACATTTTATACTTATTTTCTGCATTATGGAATGGTTTAAAGCACGAGGTCAGATTACCTGAATTTAAATCTCAGTTCTACCTTCAAATTTACCTACCTTCAAATAACGAGAGAAATTAAATGAGTTAATACATGTAAGGCACTTTGTATATGCCTGAGGGAAATAAGATACAGGTTGAATATACCAATCCAAAAATCCAAAATTCAAAACTTTCTGGGCATCAATATGACTCTCAAAGAAAATGCTCACTGAGGAGGTTGCAGTGAGCCGAGATCACACCACTGCACTCCAGCCTGGGCAACAACACTGAGACTCTGTCTCAAAACAACAAAAACAACAACAACAACAACAAGAAAATGTTTACTGGAACATTTTGTATTTCAGATTCTCAGATCTGAGATGCTCAACCAGTATGTACAATGCAAATACTTCAAAAGCTAAAACACTTCTGGCCCCAAGTATTTTGGATAAGGGATACTCAATCTGTATATGTGTTGGCTATTTACAACACTGTCATCATTCTCACCATTTTGAGCCCGAACTATAATCCAAGAGAGGTTATTTCCATTTTATAGTAAAGTTAGGTATTCTTCCAGTGTTACCCAGCTATGGGCGGGTTTCTATAATCAAAACCTATCTGGCCCCAAAGCCCTGTTCCCATTTGCCTTGGGATCATTCCAGTTCCCTAATCCCAATCACAACTCACACAGATTATTCTGAATTGAAACCTGGGCTGTAATGTTCCTTTGGTTGGTAGTTCTATTGTGGAAAACATCTGATTCAAAGGCTCTCAGGGGCCTTCCCGGCAGCCTCATGGGTGGGTCCAAAGCCTCAATTTGTCTGAGGAGTTGGGATGCAATCCAGATTCCATCCTGACCCCAAGATTCATCATACACATTAGGAGGTATGGCAACCTCATTTCTCTTTTCCTCCCCCTCTCTCCCACAAACTTCAGGGTGAGTCTTCAGATCTTTCACAAGGACATTGCGACCACAGTTGCCACATAGTTCTGTCCGGGCACCACAATAATCTTCATGTTCCTTCAGCTTGAGAATGGAAAGTTCTAAATCACAGTGCTGGCAGACAGCAAGCCGCAAAGGGCACTCAGTCTCCTACAAAAGAGAGGAATGAGGCAGTTAATATGCATATCTAGGAAAGGCATGTTTTAGTATAGGGTAGGAAAAGCAAAAAGTATCTACTTCAATCATCTCTTCCAACCCTAGATTCTCATGCCATGTTTTTTTTGTTTGTTTCTGAGACAGAGTTTGGTTCTGCTGCCAGGCTGGAGTGCAGTGGCATGATCTCAACTCACTGCAACCTCTGCCTCGCAGGTTCAAGGGATTCTCCTGCCTCAGCATCTCAAATTGCTGGGACTACAGGTGCGCACCACCACACCCAGATAATTTTTGTATTTTTAGCAGAGACGGGGTTTCATCATGCCGGCCAGGATGGTCTCAATCTCCTGACCTCATGATCTGTCCGCCTTGGCTTCTCAAAGTGCCATGTTTTTTTATGTATTTAACACTTAAGAGTCATAGCTTCTGCTTTTGTTCTTGCCACAAGAACAAATGAAAAAAAATTTGAAACCTGGGCTGTAACGTTCCTTTGGTTGGTAGTTCTATTGTGTTTTATTTTCCTCTACAAAGGAAAATAAAATCTTAGAGGGAGCCTATTCAGCCATCCCAACTATCATATGGTTTTGTACACCCATTACTAAGTTATCTAAAACCAGCCAGAGAAGTCCAGGAGCAAATAACAAGAATCATAGCAATTCAGATGTTTGTCAAAGCTCCACCAATGTCCCTTAACTACTACTCCAATTCAGTCTTAAGTACCTAACAATGAGGGAAAAAAATTGCACTTTAGAAAGACACAGGTTTCTCTAACCTTCATATTTGTATTTAGCACAGGCTTTATTATTATTATTATTTGACACAGAGTATTGTTCTGTTGCCCAGCGTGGAGTGCATGGTGTAATCTCGGCTCACTATAACCTCCACGTCCCAGGTTCGAGCAATTCTTCTGCCTCTTCTTCCTAAGTAGCTTGGGACCACAGGTGCATGCTACCACACCTGGCTAATTTTTTTTGTATTTTTAGCAGAGAAAAGGTTTCGCCACATTAGCCAGGTTGGTCTCAAACTCCCAGCCTCAAGTGATATGCCCACCTCGGCTTCTCAAAGAGCTGGGATTACAGGCATAAGCTACCATGTCTGGCCATTAGCACAGGCTTTAAATGGACCAAATAAACCAAGAATCACCAATGACAATGACCCAAAAGGTGTAAACAGACTCAGTAAATGAAGGGCAAAACCTTTATACTTAATTGGAAACTGTCACTAAAGCACTAAAAACATTAGAAAGATATAAAATATGTTACTATGACATGCTCATTCCAAAAAAAAGAAAGCTTAAACTTAGAACTTTAATGTAACATTTCAAAACTTTAGATACTTTATAACCACCTGCCAAAGAGCACAAACTTCTTTTCCTACAAATTAAATTTGGGTCAGGCACAGTGGCTCACATCTGTAATCCCAGCACTCTGGCAGGCTGAGGTGGGTAGATCACTTGAGGGGAGGAGTTCAAGACCAGCCTGGCCAACATAGCAAAACCCCATCTCTACTAAAAATATGAAAAAATTAGCTGGACGTGATGGTGCACATCTGTAATCCCTGCTACTCAAGAAGCTGAAGCAGGTTCACTTGAACCCAGAAGGCGGAGGTTGCAGTGACCCGAGATCACTTCAGTGCCCTCCAGCCTGGGTGAGAGTGAAACTGCGTCTCAAAAAAAAAAAAAAAAAATTAGCTGAGCATGGTGGCACACACCTGTAATCCCAGCTACTCAGGAGGCTGAAGCACAAGAATCACTGGAGCCCGGGAGGTGGAGGCTGCACTGAGCTGAGATCGTGTCACTGCACTCCAGCCTGGGCAACAGAGAGAAACTCAAAAAACAAATTAGCTCGGGTATGGTGGTTCACGCCTGTAATTCCAATACTTTGGGAGGCCAAGGCAGGCAGATCACTTGAGATCAGGAGTTCAAGACCAGCATGATCAACATGGTGAAACCACGACTCTACTAAAAACACAAAAATTAGCCAGGTGTGGTGGTACATGCCTATAATCCCAGCTACTTGGGAGGCTAAGGCAGAAGAATTGCTTGAACCTGGGAGGCAGAGGTTGCAGTGAGACAGTATCACTCCACTGCACTCCAGCCTGGACAACAGAGTAAAACTGTCTAATAAATAAATAAATAAATTGCCAGGCACGGTGGCTCATGCCTGCATTCCCAGCACTTTGGGAGACCAGGGAGGGCGGATCACCTGAGGTCAGGAGTTCAAGACAACCTGGCCAACATGGTGAAACCCTATCTCTATTAAAATAGAAAAATTAGCCAGATGTGGTGGCACATGCCTGCAATCCAAGCTACTTCCAAGGCTGAGGCACAGGAATCACTTGAACCTGGGAGGCAGAGGTTGCAGTGAGCCAAAATTGCATCACTGCACTCTAGCCTGGATGACAGACAGAGCAAGACTCCATCTCAATTAAAAAAAAAAAAAAAGAAAGAAAAAAAAAATTGGCCAGGCACAGTGGCTCACACCTGTAATCCCAGCACTTTGGGAGGCCGAGGCGAGTGGATCACCTGAGGTCCGAAGTTCGAGATCAGCCTGGCCAACTTGGTGAAATCCCATCTCTACTAAAAATACAAAAATTAGGCAGGGCACAGTGGTTCACGCCTGTAATCCCAACACTTTGGGAGGCCAAGGTGGACAGATCACCTGAGGTGGGGAGTTTCAGACCAGCCTGACCAACATGGAGAACCCCAGCTCTACTAAAAATACAAAATTAGCTGGACATGGTGGTGTCTGCCTGTAATCCCAACTACTCAGGAGGCTGAGGCAGGAGAATTGCTTGAAGGTGAAGGTTGTGATAAGCCAAGATCGTACCACTGCACTCCAGCTCAGGCAACAAGAGTAAAACTCTGTCTCAAAACGACGACGACAACTAAAAACTAGCTGTATGTGGTGGCGGGCACCTGTAATCCCAGCTCTTTGGTAAACTGAGGCAGGAGAATCACTTGAACCCAGGAGGCAGAGGTTGCAGTGAGCCAAGATCATGCCATTGTACTCCATCCTGGACAATAGGAGTGAAACTCTGTCTCAAAAAAAAAAAAAACTAAAGTTCTATTCCAAATGCTACTCCAACATTTTCAGCACTGTTTGTATATGCATGAATTACCTCTTACAGAAAACACAATAAATTGATCAAAAGGGCTTAGGTAGCCCAGGCACAGTGGCACACACCTATAATCCCAGCACTTTGGGAGGCTGAGGCAGGCAGATTACGAGGTCAAGAGATCAAGACCATCCTAGCCAACATGGTGAAACCCCATTCTACGAAAAATACAAAAATTAGCAGGGCATGGTGGCATTCACCTGTAGTCCCAGCTACTCGGGAGGCTGAGGCAGGAGAATCACTTGAACCCAGGAGGCGGACATTGCAGTGAGCTGAGATCATGCCAGTGCACTCTTGCTCTGTCGAGATTGCGACAGAGCAAGACTCCGTCTCAAAAAATAAAGAAAAGAAAAGAAAAAGGACTTAGGTAGCTGAGGAACAGGGGTAAAGAGACATGATTTTTACATATATCCTTTTTTGGCTTTAAAGTTGTATATCAGCTGGGCACAGTGGCTCACACCTATAATCCTAGCACTTTGGAAGGCCAAGGAAGGAGGACCGCTTGGGCCTAGGAGTTCGAGATCAAGTTGGGCAACATAAGGAGACCCTGTCTCTACAAAATAAAAAATAAAACAAAAAACCTAGCTTGGCGTGATGGCACATGCCTGTGGTCCCAGATACCTGGGAGGCTGAGGTGGAAGGATCGCTACAGCCCAGGCTGTAGTGAACCATGATGACACCACTGCACTACAGCCTTGAGATCCTGTCTGAAAAAATAATAAAAGAAAAATTAAAATTAAAAAATAAAATTCTATATCATGTAGATACAATGCCGATTGAGAAAGGTTTTTTTTCAAAAGCTTATTTTTTTCCACTCTGTCACCCAGGCTAGAGTACAGCGGTGTGATCTCAGCTCAATGCAACGTCCACTTCCAAAGTTCAAGCAATTCTCCTGCCTCAGCCTCCCGAGTAGGTGGGACTACAAGTGAATGCCACCACTCCCTGCTAATTTTTATATTTTTGGTAGAGTAGGGTTTCACCACGTTGGCCAGGCTGGTCTTGAACTCCCGGCCTCAAGTGATCCACCTGCCTTGGCCTCCCAAAGTGCTGGGATTATGGTGTAAGCCACTGCTCCTGGTAAATCAGTGATTTTTTTAAATAAAAGAGCTTTTCGGGCTGGGCATGGTGGCTCACGCCTATAATCCCAGCACTTTGGGAGGCCAAGACAGGCAGATCACTTGAGGTTAGCAATTCGAGACCAGTCTGGCCAACATGGTGAAACCCATGCCTACCAAAAATACAAAAATTAGCCAGGCGTGGTGGCAGGCACCTGTAATCCTAGCTACTCAAGAGGCTGAGATAGGAGAATCACTTGAGCTCTGGAAGCAGAGGTTGCAGTGAGTTGAGATTGCTCCATCGCACTGCAGCCTGGGCAACAAAAGTGAAACTCTAACTCAATAAACAAAAAATTAGTTGGGCATGGTAGCACACACCTGTAATCCCAGCTACTCAAGAGGCTGAGGCAGGATAGATAAAATCACTTGAACCTGGGATGTGGACATTGCAGTGAGCACTACAGCCTGGGTGACAGAGTGAGACTCAGTCTTAAAAAAAAAAAAGAAAAAAAAAATCCAACAAATTCTCAATAGGAAAAAAAAAAAATCACTGATTTAAATTACTCAATAGGAAAGAAACAAATAATTGCTCATTCATACCATGTAATATAGCACCTTCTTAACAACCCTAAGAAGTGCTGTGTTGAAGGAATGGATTGCTAGAAAAAGAAAAAAGTGCTAGTAACTTACCAAAACAGCAAATAAAGTAAAAATTATAGATAGGCAATCTCTGGTCTAAAATTGTCATACTGACTAGCAGGACTGTTAGGGAACACTTTGTACCTGGTACATGTGTAATAATTGGTATATCACTGTGGGACTCCTAGAAATAGCTGAGAGAGAACCTAGGAGAAGGAAAGTTTATTAAAGGTTGTTTTACACAGCAGGCAGATACTAGAGGCAGAGAAACACTATTATTGTTAATGTGACCTCAATCATAACCCCCCAGGCTGATGATGCCTAGTAAAACATACATCAAATGCTTAGAAAAAAAATAATGAAAGTCAGAGTGCCAAGGTATTTAAGAGATGTTTTTCTCTAAGTTCTAGAGTTATGAATGGTTCTTATTCTCTTTTTATGCTATTTTCCAAATTTTCTACAACAAATATGAATTACCTTATTTATTTATTTATTTATTGAGATGAAGTTTTGAACTTGTTGCCCAGGATGGATTGCAATGGCACAGTCTCTGGTCATTGCAACCTCTGCCTCCCTGGTTCAAGCAATTCTCCTGCCTCAGCCTCCCAAGTAGCTGGGATCACAGGCATACACCACCATACCCAGCTAATTTTGTATTTTTAGTAGAGACAGGGTTGTTTTTTTTCTTCTTTTTGGCAGCCAGTGTCTGTTAGAGATGGGGTTTCACCATGTTGACCAGGCTGATCTCGAACTCCTCACCTCAGGTGATCCAAAGTGCCGGGATTACAAGCATGGGCCACTGAGCCTGGCCTTTTAATTATTATTATTATTTTTTTTTTTTTTTTGAGACAGGGTCTCACTTTGTCCCCCAGGCTGGAATGTAGTGGCACAAACAGAGCTCACTGTAGCCTCAATCTCTGGGCTCAAACAATATCCTACCTCAGCCCCTCAAGCAGCTGGGACTATAGGAATGGACCACCATGCCCAGCTAATTTTTAAATTTTTTGTAGAGATGGGGGTCTCATGATACTGCCTGGACTGGCCTTGAGCTCCTTGGTTTAAGCAGTCCTCTCACCTTGGCCTCCCAAAGTGCTTGGATTACAGGCATGAGTCACTGTAGCCTGCCATGAATTATCTTTTAAATTAAGGGTAATTTAATTATAAATTTATAAAATAAAGTTGTTACAGTTTGAAGCACATAGAATGAAATGCATAAATCTTTTAAGTACATACCTTGGTGAATTTTTATATATATATATCCACTCTTGTATAACTACCACATAAACAGCGTTTGGATTTTTAAATTGGTGAATTTTCTCCAATTTTTAAATTAGAGAATTAACATACGCATTCAATGTTGACCAGTTCTGGCCAGGTGCCATAGCTCATGCCTGTAATATTAGCACTTTGAAAGCCAAGGAGGGAGGATCACTTGAGGCCAGGAGTTCAAAACTAGCCCGGGCGACATAGAGAAACCTCAACACTATGAAAAACAAAAATAAATAAAATTAGTCAGGCATAGTGGCTGACACCTGTAGTCTCACCTATGTGAGTGGATCATTTGAACCCAGGAATTTGAGGCTGCAGTGAGTTATGATCATGCCACTGCATGCTAGCCTGGGTGACAAAGTGAGACCCTGTCTCAAAGTTTTTAATTTAAAAACAAACAAAAAAAAAACTGGGACGGGCACAGTGACTCACACCTGTAATCCTAGCACTTTGGGAGGCTGAGGCGGGTGGATCACTTAAGTCAGGAGTTCAAGACCAGTATGGCCAACATGGTGAAACCCTGCCTTTACTAAAAATATAAAAATTAGGCCAGCCGTGGTGGCTCACAGCTGTAGTCCCAGCACTTTGGGAGACCAGGGTGCCTGGATCATGAGGTCAGGAGATTGAAACCATCCTGGCCAACATGGTGAAAACCCGTCTCTACTAAAATAGAAAAAAGTCACCAGGCGTGGTGACTTGCATCTGTAGTCCCAGCTACTCGGGAGACCGAAGCAGGAGAATTGATTGAACCCAGGAGGCAGAGGTTGCAGTGAGCCGAAATAGTGCCACTGCATTCCAGCCTGGCAACAGAGTGAGAAAAAAAAAGTACAACTTTGGGCTGAGCACAGTGGCTCATGCCTGTAATCCTAGCACTTTGGCAGGCCGAGGCAGGAGGACCACTTGAACCTAGGAGTTCAAGACCAACCTGGGCAACACAGCAAGACCCTGTCTGTATTTAAAAAAAAAAAATCCTTTGGCCAGTTTTATTTATCTCAATAAGCGAGCAAATAATACTCTATTCTCTCTCACCAAATGCTAAGGAAGTTCTTCAGATTAAATAGCATGTTATCCATGTGCTCAAGAATTTAAAATGCAATGACAACATTTAAGGCAGGCTGTGTGCTAAAGAGGTTATCCCATACTGGCAACCCCAGGGCTGGCTTCATATTCAGTGAGGCTGCCAATAAACAAACCCCATCAGCAATGATAGGCTCAGTTCCAAAGGGAGACACTTTGGGAGTCTCAATATACACAAGGGAGTTCCAACAGCCAGGTAGCCGAAACTGGCAGCAGTCACATAGTCAAGGCTTTAAACAGGCTTTGAGAGACAGTATGCATGTGAACTCCTGGAGAACTAAGACTCAACCAGACTGGCTTTCTGCTTTGCATGTGGCTCTGTAATCTCAGTAGGACTGGTCCCATAGTAACTCACTCCATAGTGCAAGAGGACTAACCTCATGCTTCTTTAACAGCCTCTTCTCCAACTCCTTGTTACATTTGCAGGTCACCTAGAGTAAGAAATGAGAATCAATAAATTGGCTTTGTGACAATATGCTCATTTGTTATTGCACAATAGCAAATGGAATACATTTATGAACAACAGCAAATATAACACATGCATAAACATTTGGGTACTTGGTGGCTCACCTGACAGTGTTCTGCAGCCATATGAGTCTCCATGTCAGATTTGGGAAATGGTTCCTTGCAGATGGGACACATACCAATGTTCCTTTGACAGTGGATCTCATGGATGGTAAAGTTAAACACAGGAATTTCTTTTTTGCTACAGAAATAGACCAAAGAAAAAGGCAAGCATTACTGACTGATCTATGCCTTTTCTTCCACAGTGGTATCACATGGAAATCTGTCCTGTCCAATCTTTAGTCTCCATTATTTCTTTTTAGTGAATACCTAGCCTACGAACTCATGACTATTACCATTTCTGCTTTTCAATAACTCAATCCTGGCCGGCCACAGTGGCTCACGCCTGTAATCCCAGCACTTTGGGAAGCCTAGGCAGGTGGATCACTTGAGGTCAGGAGTTCAAGAACAACCTGGCCAACATGGTGAAACCCTGTCTCTACTAAAAATACAAAAATTAGCTGGGTGTGATGGTGGGCACCTGTAATCCCAGCTACTTGGGAGGTTTAGAACTAAATCCTGGCCAGGCGCGGTGGCTCATGCCTGTAATCCCAGCACATTAGCAGGCTGAGGCAGGTGGATCACTTGGGATCAGGAGTTCAAGACGAGCCTGGCCAACATGGTAAAACCCCACCTCTACCAAAAATATAAAAAATTAGCCGGGTGTGGTGGCGGGTGCCTGAAATCCCAACTACTCAGGAGGCTGAGAAAGGAGAATCGCTTGAACCCAGGAGGGAGAGGTTGCAGAGAGCCGATATCATGCCACTGCACTCCAGCCTCGGTGACGGAGCGAGATTCCGTGTCAAAAAAGAAAAGAAAAAAAGAACTAAATCCTCAAGGTTGACTCTTCTGTGCAACATTCTGAGTTACCAATGCTATGCACTACTACCTCTAAAAGCTCAGCTTTACTTTCTCAAAGTCAGAGCTGATCACAACATGAAGTCAGATGCTAAGAAGAGTGGAGCTGGGCTATTCCAAAACCATCCATGTCCCAAAGCAGAGTGATATACTCCAGGATTATTTTAGAACAGACAACAAACTAAAACAACAACAAAAACAAGTGAAAAACCATCCTACCACTTATTTTCCCTCAGTCTTAAGTAGTTTAATTTCATTGGATTTTATTCCACGAAAAGTCAAACCAAAAAGAGAAGACGCCAGCTTTGGGATAGTCAAAGGGGAAAAGGAAATAATCTCCTTTATGTCTCACGTGCCTTTGAAAGCAGGCTGGATGCTTCTTGATTACAGGAACATGCTCTCTTACTGGGTTGGTAGAAACTTCACTGCAAAACTGTACAAAAAGGAAATCCTGGACCCTTTCCTCCACCAGTCTGGTCTCCCCACTTCATTTTTGCCATTCTTAGTTTAGCAGTCCAATCAAAGAGCATATCTAAGCTACACAAAATAAGGAGATAGGCCGGGCGTGGTGGCTCATGCCTGTAATCTCAGCACTTTAGGAGGCCAAGAAGAGTGGATCATGAGGTCAGGAGATCAAGACCATCCTGGGTAACACAGTGAAACCCCGTCTCTACTAAAAACACAAAAAATTAGCGGGGTGTGGTGGTGACACACGCCTGTAGTCCCAGCTACTTGGGGGGCTGAGGCAGGAAAATCACTTGAACCCAGGTGGCAGAGGTTGTAGTGAGCTGAGATCGTGCCACTGCACTCCAGCCTGGGCGACAGAACAAGACTCTGTCTCAAAAAATAAAAAAAGGAGGTAAAGTGACAATCTTACATGAAAGAGTAAGACCATTTAAACTTGAAAAGATTATATATACACCCAAACTAAAGGTACATTCTATTCAAAGGCCTTACTTTTACTCGTTTGGATAGGACCATTGTAAAATTCCAATTTCACCAGCTTAAGAGTACATTAAAGAAGGCACCTAAAATAATAATGATTCAGAAAAATAAAATGAACAGAATCAATACAGTTATAAAACAAATTATTTAATCTCATATTTTGCCTCTGAAGCTGAACACTAGAGAAACTCTCTCCCACACTGTTATAAATAGCTTATTTCTCTTTTAATAGCCTTTATTATTCAGACATTGTCTAAGAAACATTTCAAAGTAAAATAAATGATGTGCCTCCAGCCATAGTCATTCTTCCAATCTGAAAGACCAAGACACCAAGAAAGTGCAAATTCACTTTCAACTAGTGGTGGAATTATCAAGCTAGGGACCTCAAGGCAGCTCTCAAGGCAGCACTGGAAGGTGACAGAACAATCAACTGTGAGAGATGGGAAGAAAACTCAAATGGATAAAGAGATAAATTACAATAACCTGACACTTAACTTCCCACGTTTCTCTCAAATTTCTAGCTTTCTAAGGAAACCACTCATTTTGAATTAGTACAGTTAAAATAATAAATCCCAACTTTTTAAAGATGTTGTGAAACTAATATCTTAATACATTACTGGTGGTAGTATAAACTGCCTAAAAACAGTCTGAAGATGCATTTCTAGGACCATAAAATTATATACTCTATAATACAATAATCCCACTCTTGAGATTATGTATGAATATTTTCATTACAGTATCAAAGAATGGTAAAAAATGAAAATCAGGCCGGGCGCGGTGGCTCAAGCCTGTAATCCCAGCACTTTGGGAGGCCGAGGCGGGTGGATCACGAGGTCAAGAGTTCGAGACCATCCTGGTCAACATGGTAAAACCCCGTCTCTACTAAAAATACAAAATATCAGCTGGGCATGGTGGTGCGTGCCTGTAATCTCAGCTACTCAGGAGGCTGAGGCAGGAGAATTGCCTGAACCCAGGAGGCGGAGGCTGGGGTGAGCCGAGATCGCGTCATTGCACTCCAGCCTGGGTAACAAGAGCGAAACTCCGTCCCAAAAAAATAAAAATAAAAAAAATTTTTTAAAAATGAAAATCATTAAAAATACTTAAGCAAGAAAGGAATCGCTAAGTTATATATGGTACACCAACAAAGTAAAAGCAGCATACTATATTTGGTTGTAAATCATGTTTGTTTAAATGCCATGAAAATTAAAGTCAGTAATTACTGCTTAGGGTGAAGAAAACCTGGGTTCCTTTTTCATAATTTTGGCAATAATTTTATTTTAGTAGCAAAAATGAAGACACTAAATGTCTAGTGTTTATTTTACAAGGCTGTTCAGGATAGCTTGTTGACATCAAATATACTACATATACAAAGCCATTAAAACTTTAGAATGAAAACAAAAAATATTAAGAACCACTCCATCATAATATGAAGCAGCAAGAATAAAAAGCAGCTGTCAGGTAAGACCACAAAGCATTTACTACTTCCACATTTTCACCTCTTGGGAAATGCTGAAAGAAAAAGATAAAAGATATTTGCAAAATTGTATAAAACAGTTGCCTGTTGGGCTTTTTCTTTTAAAATTTAACTGCCAACATATTCCTACGAAACATTCCAACCAGACAAAATACTAACATACTTACTTCCTACCTTCAGATAAAATGAAGATGTTTTAAGTGAGATAAATGAGTACAAAATTCCATATCTAGATAAAACTTCTAAAAGTCTCAATTAAGGGCTAGGGGTGAAATTTCATTTAGATAGAAATGACTGAAAGGCAAACCAAAGCTTCTAGAAAAATTCCCAAGAGGCTTCCAAACACTAAACACAAACAGCAGAAATCAATTCTTTACAGGTTTAGTCAGCCTTCTATGCTAATCTGCTTTTTCTTTAATTTCTTTGGCTTTGAATAACCTTGTTTTTCACTAGCTTTCCATTAACTCGCCCTTTAACTCTCCTAGCATAGTTATTTATATAACGTCCTAGGCTTGAGATTCCTCCTAATTGGAGTGGAGTAATAAAACAGGTGTATCTCAACTAATGCTAAAACCAATGTGTCTGTTGTCTTATAAAATCATGTTTTCTTGTGATTGTTTCACTGATTACTCTGTATCAGTAGCTATACATATAAAACCCAAACAAAACTAAAATAGTTTACGAAATGGCAGAAAGTGATAATGGCATAGCAGAAATACCCTATAATATGGCAAGACACCTTCAACAAGATAAAATCTTAATTCCAAGCAGATAAAGAATATTGTAACCAGCCGTTGCTCTAATTATATCCTAATTCTGCCAAAGTTAGGCTGAGGAAAAAAGACAACAACGTTATTTGACTCAAATAGTCCACCAATTAGTCAAACTATTTTCCTTATTAAACATCTCTTTCCATCACAATTTGTAAGTTAAACACAGCACATTGTGAAAGAAGTACCCAGTGAAGGAAAATAAAACAAAGTAATAAACATAGCAGACAGTTCTGCTTTGCTTTCTTCATCAGCTTACAGTAAGAGCACTTGTATAGCACCAATATACCAAGATAAGTTCTTAGGAAATCCCCAACAGGAACCAGCTGATTAACTTTACAACTGGTTTCATTTTATCAGGAAAGAGATGTTCTTTCTTGTAATTCATGTGGGTTATAAACACCAAAATAGAAAGCTTAACATTCAAGACTGTGCCAGTCTTCACTAAGAGTTTTTGAATCAGGAAATTGTAATAACCTACCCTGGGCTAGCATAACTGACTCCATTCTAACTGTAAACACCAACATGGCTTCCCTCTCCTTACCACAGCCCCTTTGAGTACATAACTGGGTCATGCTGCACTTAGAAGCATTAAAACGTACTGTTCTTAACACTTGTAACCATTGTAACCGCATCCTGCTTAGCATACCTCCCCACTATTATTAAAAAAAAAAAAAAAATTCCCCTTTAATCATTATATTAAAAAAGCCTAATTGCCCCTTAATAATTATATAAAAACCACCTGTGCCCACAGCCCCTTCCTCTAACCTGCTTTTTTACTTCTATAAAATTCCGCTTCAGCTAGATACTCCCCTACCCTACCTAAATCAAGACATAAAAAATAATCAGGCCCCTTCCTAGAGGTCAAAAAAACTTTAAACATTAGCCATCTCTCAGTCACTAGTTAAAGAACTCTTAATTTAAAACTCAAAACATGACACATTCCTTCTAACTCAATCAATTACGACAAAATGATAGTGATTAAGCTTGACTGCCATAAGAATTTGACTAGGCTAGCCTGGGCAACATAGTAAAACCCCCATCCATATTAAAAAAAAAAAAATTAAAAATTAGCCAGGCATGATGTTGCATGTT